GACATATGATAACAAACTAGTATTTTTCAGAAGATCGTTCTGGAGGTGGAATGCAGCCTGCATTATAGGAAAAGTACCTTCTGTTAGGGAGATAAGCCAAAAGATTCTGACTCTAATCTAGTCAAGAGGTGCTAAGAGCTTGCACGAGGGCTGTGAATATGGAGATAAAAACTCAAATCTGAGAGAGATATTTTAAAGAAGAAATGTCAAGGCTCTCTGATAGGTTGCATGCATGAGAAAAAGGTAAAAAGACAAGAGTAAAAGATATTAACTTCTAATTCTATTTCCAGTGACTGACACCATGATGATACCATGTCTATTAGAATGAGAGAGTTGTAATAGTTGCTCTTTGTGAATATAAATCAATCAGCTTGACTTAGGATTTAGTGAGATACAGGACCACATGATCCTGGATGTTTTTTTGTACATGCAGATGCTGTTCTGACTTAGACTGGGCAACTACAGATCCTTCCAGAGGTGAGAGAGAAATGGCATGAGTCTTCTTCATGGAGGATGTTCTGGGCACCAAGATTAGTTTTGTACACCCACGTGGTATCTCACCTAATTCTCAGAGAAATTGTTACTTACTGAGCATTTACTATGTATGAAGTCCTGTCCTAAACACATCTATGCAGATTTTTTACCCATTTAATCCACATACAATTTCATAAAATAGGTATCATTAATTCCATTTTATAGTTTAGGAAATCAGCCCAAACTGGCTACATACATGGCCCAAGACCGCTTAACTAATGACAAAGACCATCATAAGTCTTTGGTTGGTCTGAAAATGCCTTGAGCCATTTTCAAAAGTCAAATATAAAAGGAAGTAATGGCTTCTGGAAAAATGCTGAAATGAAGCCAAGCTTCATTCTCTCTTCTTCTCTGCAAACTATTCCTCATGGAACTCTTTCAAATAGGTCTTCCTGAAGCTCAACATTAACAGTGCTATAACCCATCACTCTAATAACTTCTGCTAGCTGTTTACTATGTTAACAGCTCTGTCTGGAAAGTATAAGGACAGAAGAAAGATTCAGTTGTTTAAAGGCAATCAGTGGTAGCACACAGTCATCAGCCAACAGCAGATGAGTTTTATAGATTCTAAATTGCTCATACAGTGGCTCAAGAAAAACTATAAATAATACTAAAGATATAAATGTTCTGAGGTAAATATATTCTGCTTAGCCCAGGCACAAAAACAATGAACTAATAAATATGTTTCTACCATTCCTTAAAATCAAAAATCCCAAAATGCGCAGAGGCTGAAGTTACTTTTGAGAAGGTTGTATATTCTTCCAAATATATGACAACTTTTTTTTTTTTTTTTCAAATATATGACAACTTTTTGAAAAAAGTTGTGCTAGTCTTGTTTCATAAAATTAATACTCATGAGACTCCTGGGGCTCATGATTTATAGCAAATAAGGCTGAGATTGACAAGAAGATTCGGGACTTGGGAGAGCTTAGTAAGAGTGCAGCTGTATATATGTGTGTGTGTATGTATACATATGTATATATGTTAAAAAAAACCCATACATACATATATATATATATTTATATATATATTAATCACAGAATTATGATTTTAGAAAGTGTAGAAAAATGAACAATGTGTTAGGCCGGCCCGGTGGCGCACTGCTACAGTGCACCGCTTGGGAAGCGTGGTGGCGCTCCTGATGAGGGTTCGGATCCCACATACAGACCGGTCCCCGCTCACTGGCTGAGCGAGGTGCGGGTGCAGCACTGAGGGTTGCGATCCCGTTGCCGGTCCCGGTCCGGTACAGGCGCGACACTGAGGGTTGCGATCCGTTGCCGGACATGAAAAAAGACAAAAAAAGGAGAAAAATGAACAATGTGGTCTGAATATTTTATTATATGGTAAAGATACTAAGACCAAGAAAAGTGAAGCAAATTGTCCTTAACCACATAGCTAGGTAGAAATGGATGAGAGTCTGTATTTTAGGTCTCAATGCTTCTAAGAACTCATTTTACCCTTTTTCTCAACATGTTGTTGCCTTGTTCCTTCAGTTAAATGATAAATCCGTATATAGATAGATAGATAGATATTTTTTTTTTCTTTGACTCTGCCTTAACTTCCTCAGAGATCCCTGGCTGTTTAGCTTTGATTCCTAAATAGAACTCAGCAATTTACTTACTTACTTACTTACTTACTTACTTACTTACTTACTTACTTACTTACTCACTCACTCACTCACTCACTCACTTTATCTATCTATCTATCTATCTATCTATCTATCTATCTATCTATCTATCTATTTATATTGAATTTGGGGATTCAAAGACATTTACAGCTCATGCTGTACTCTGCCATAGTGACAACTATAATCATCTTCATGTATTTATTGATCTTTAGTATAAGAATAAAAGGTTAGGAGCATATTGTCTGAGCTGATTTGGAACATAAAGTCTTTACATTTTTTAAAAAATATGGTTTATTCAGAGGTAATACTCTCTTTCCTGTGAAAGGAAGTACTTCACTGTTTGTAAGTCTGGGGTCAGGATCAAGACAAAAGATAAATGCATAATTGGTAAGTGGTAGATTTAGGTGTAGATTTTGGAGTTACAGCTTAGAAGAATCACTAAAACAAAAGAAAGAGAATAAAGGGAAAAAATTGAATATAAAAAAAGGGAAAAAAAGAATTTTAAGATGCCTTGAGTACCAAAGGGAGACCACTAGACATGTCAACTTTGAGTAAAGTGATTCCCATAGAATGGAAAGGGCAGAAGACAGTCTTCATGGAAATTAAAAAGAAAAAGGAGTAGAAAAATCAAAGAAAACTGTAGAAGTTCTTAAAGCTTTGTGTTAGGAGAGCCAGCAATGCATGCTGTTAGAGTGGTTAAGCTGAGTACACATTTAAAACATTGTTTTTTTTTTTAAAAGAAACTAAAAACAGAAGATGATAATAGTAAAGCTAAGACATCATACTGAAATTTATAAAGAATAGGAAAAAAATCTGAAACACAAAGAAGAAATGAATTCTGATAATTTCCATCTCAGTTCATGTTAAAGTTGAGATGTAAGTAGTGAAAGATGCACTCTATGAAAAAAATAAAAGAAAAAGTTTCCTACAAGATCCGAAACAAAAGTTACATATTTTATAGATGCTTAGCAAAAAAAAAAAATTATTCTTTAATACGTATGAACTTTAAAAAATGAAATATTTGTGGTCTTCCTAAAACTGAGAATTTAATATGCTTGAGCAATTCATGTGTGTAATTTAAATCACTGGCAAACATTTTATTACAATAACCAAATATGTCAAAAAGTAAAACTATTTTTCATAATTGAGAAAATTTCAAATGTTAATATAATTTAACTGAGTAATAGCTGAAAATGATTGAAGAAAGTGTGCTCATTTAAAACAGTGCTTAACCGCTGTAGTGTGCCGCTCGGGAGTGCAGTGGCGCTCCTGCCGAGGGTTCGGATCCCACATACAGACCGGTTCCCGCTCACTGGTTGAGCGAGGTGCGGGCGCGGCACCGAGGTTTGCGATCCTGTTGCCGGTCCCGGTCCGGTACGGGCGCGACACTGAGGGTTGCGATCTGTTGCCGGACACGAAAAAAAAGACAAAAAGGAAAAAAAATAAAAAATAAAAAAATAAATAAATAAAAATAAAAATAAAAAAATAAAAAAGTGCTTAATTGTGGTTTTGAAATGTAAGTCACAGTTTGTTTTTCTCATTATCCTGTGTGTGTGTGTGTGTGTGTGTGTGTGTAAAAAAATTGCTTAATGGATGTGTTGGTGGTGAGATGTTGGGGGCACTGTAGAGAAATGTATTTACTTAACTGATTCAGTGCTCCCTACTGTTTTATTCTGACAAAAGCGAGAATATTAATCCTATAACAGGAGTATTCAAACACTATGCTGGAAAAACAAAACAAAACTCTAGTCCTATAAATGTTTTTGTACTACATTATCAGCTATTCTTGAAAATGAGCATTCAATTTAATTGCCAGAAATTAAACATAAAACACTAGAGGTACCATCTAACAATTGCATTTATTCCAAAAGTTATTTGAAGTCAGCTCTGACAATCATCCAAACCAGGTAAAGGCCTCATGTTTTCCAGGAAAGACCAATGTATCTCTTCTTTCTTAATTGTCAACACCATTTATGATGAGCATTTACATCTATAGTGCTTATACCCTGATTTATCATTTAACTGAAGGAACAAGGCAACAACATGTTGAGAAAAAAGGGTAAAATGAGTTCTTAGAAGTATTGAGACCTAAAATACAGACTCTCTTCCATTTCTACCTAGCCATGTGGTTAAGGACAATTTGCTTCACTTTTTTTGGTCTTAGTATCTTCACCATATAATAAAATATTCACACCACATTGTTCATTTTTCTACCCTTCTAAAACCATAATCCTGTGATTAAAATAAATTTGCAGTATGTGGAACAGAAAACCCTTTAAAAATAATGTTGTGGGGGCCGGCCCGGTGGCGCACTTTAGAGTGCGCCGCTTGGGAGTGTAGCGGCGCTCCCGCCAAGGGTTCAGATCCCATGTGGAGACCGGTTGCCGCTCACTGGCTGAGCGCGGTGCGGGCGCAACACCGAGGGTTGCGATCCCGTTACGGGTCAGTAAAAAAGACAAAAAGGAAAAAAAATAATAATGTTGTGGGGTGAGGGGAAAGCTGAGCTCCACTCTATTGGTATCCTACTCTCACTGCATGTGCCTTGCCATGGCCTCTGATTACCCTCCTGGGAAACTCTAGAGCTCCACAGAACACAGATTGGAAATCATATGACAGTATCATCTCCAAGATTGTCAACAACTCTAAAATTCTAGATTTTATGAGGACAAATATGACTCTGACCCTAACCTTTTGGAAGCCAGATAAAATAAGAAGTTTCCGTGTTTTTTTGCTGACTTATTCTGAAGTTCAGAAAGCCCTCCCAGGGTAGGACTGTCAGAGAGCATGGGATCCACAGTCACCAAGCGAATACTGGGATTTGTTTCCCAGTGTTACTCACTGTGATCTGACACCAAACACAATGCAGTCCCGTTAGGCCCTGGTAACATTTAACAGTTTTGTGGCATTTATCACATTTAGTTGGACAGTTGCCTTCAACCCAGTAATGGTGCATGACCTAGAACAGAACAACAGCATTGTAGTAAGAGGAGGCATCCATAATTGCCACCCTCAGAAAACAAGTGTGGCCACAGACTTACATCAGTGTTCTTTTTGGACTTCACATAGGTCTTGATGCAAGAGGGAGGTGCTCTCGCCACACAGCGCTCATGGACTGTGTACTTGCAGACTGAAAGGAAACAGGTACGCAAATTCAGAGCTAATCCTGGTCTTGATTGCAATTTTACAGGGAAAGAATGACATTAACAGAACCTCATTTGTATCCACTGCTCCCTAATCAATCCAATCAGCCACATCAAGGAAAAGTCCAAGTCGACTGTTTTTACCATGGAATACAAAAGACCAATTAGTACAGGAAATATTATGCATGTGAAAAACCAAGACTCCTCTATCATGGCATAGCAGGAAATGCTTAATTAAATCAGTCCTTACTCAAATTTTTCACAATAATTCCCAGATGACAAAAATATTAAAGACAAATTGATGACTTCCAAATGGCTTGGTGTCATTTGCTAGAAGGAAGAGATCTATATTTTACAAAGTATAGGCATGAGAGCAGCTGGCAGGCATGGGAATAAAAGCCCATGAATTTATGCTATTTTGTCTATTGATTTATCTAAACCTTAAATGGCTGATTAGTCTATTTCCAGATAATAGATTTCATCATACATTCCAAGCCTTTAGCAAAAGTGCATCCCTCACTTGCCATTGTGGAATTATTTGTCCAAAAGGAACAGCCTTTGCTAGGATGCATACAGCATACATAAACAAAAATGTATCTTTATATGCAGACATGTATATATATATACATATACAAGCAAATATATATGTGTGTATACATATAACGTGTATCATAAAACCAAGACATACACTTTTTTGGCATCTTCAAATTTTTCATGGTTTGAATCTGAATACAATTAGGGCCATATACAGGAATTCTTTTAATAAAATTCTGGTTCCAAATTAAAAGTTCTAAATGCATAAATACATAGAATAAAATTTTAATCATGTATCCCTCTCACTAAAAACAAAAACAAAAAAAAACTATCCACCACCTGAAATTAGAATGAAAAATATTAAATCCACATAGTATTCATATAATAAAACTCTTGTAAAATAGTCACATTTGTGATTTCCTTGGTCACACTGAGGAAGAAAACATACTTTCTCTTCTCTTCCAAATTAGCAACGGTGTTGGGAGTGCTGCATTCACCACACTAACCAGTAAAAGTTTGTGAGCAAAATTCTCACTCTTCATATAGCATCACTCACCTTTTATGAGTTTTCATTTACTTTCATATGCACCTATCAATAGAATCTACCATGAAAACTTTATTTCCTTAAATATAATAGAAACAAATATAATAAAAACAAAGCACTTCCTTTGTACATGGAGAATGTTCTAGTGTAACTAACCTTTCAAACAAGATCATCAGAAACTGTCTTCTAATCTAACACATGGAAAACTTCACTTAACTTTATTAAAATCCTTAAACACATAAGAAATCATATGCATATGTGGCAATAAAACATGGTTTTTCAATGTCATATAGTACCTGAGAGAAAGTAAATGTTCAAACATACTAACAACGAAGCTGCTAACTACATAAGAATAAAATAAAATCTGAAAATCATGTATTGTATGGAAGTCCGGTAAGAAATTACATTTAATTAAATGCACAAAAATCAGGTGTGTCTAATAAACCTGACAGTTTCAGTAACACAGTACATAGCAGAAAAGGGTGTGGAGATAGACAAATTGCTTGAGTAACAGAGAACTTCAAACTTCGGTGAAGAGAATATAATATCTATTATTCTGATTTTGCAGGAAAACAAGGGAATGCAAAATTTTTTCAGATAGATTTGCTGTAGATTTAAAAACACTTACGTGATTTTATAAATTAACTTACATACACTATTAGAAAATTCTAATTGGCAGTACTGACTTACTAGAATAAAGTGAAAATTGCAAATATAAGTGAACTGAAATTTTTAAAAATAAGTGAACTGAAATTTTTAAAATGGCCACAGCTCATGAACTGGTAATGCTTTGGATTCCAACATCTATTAACCATATATAAAAATTTTCTTTACGATAGCATTAAAAATAATGTGCTTGAGGTGTACAATTAGTTTGCTTTTCTTATAAGTTTTTAATTTTAAAGCAAATTTAGTTTAATCAATTAATGCAACTCCGTTTTTATAAAAGACATAACGAAATTGACTTATTACAAGAAGTTTATGTGAATAATGTGGCTAACTTAGAGGGAAAAAAAGGACAAACATGAGTAACATATACATATGAGACATTAGTACTAATTTACAAAATAATCCCAGAAGAAATGGGAATCATGAATGAACTAAACTACAGTGGAGAAAAAAACACATGGATGAAAAATTGGAAAATGTCCTTAGTTTTTTTTCCAAGGGGAGGGTTTGTACAAGAAAGGACAAACTGGAGTGGCCTAAGCATTCAGAAACATACTACAGGTTAACAAATTATAAGTACAGGGAGCATCAGATTATTTCTCAGATTTCCACCTACAGATAGGACTATTCCATGAAATCAGACTTTGCTTCCTCAAAGTGATAACGCCCAGGCAGAGCAAACACACTCACAGGAGCAGCAGAGGCCCTGTTTCCCTACACCGATCAGCATGTTCAGGCAGAGATTGCAGTAGGCAGGCTTGTTAAAATGCTTGAGTCGCCACACATGCTGTCCGTCATCCTTCACGTTCTGCAGGGGACGTAAGAGAAACAGATTTCACTTAATGAAATAAACAGTGGAATATGGAATTGCCAATAAAATTCAGAGCTGGACTGAAGCATTGTAAGACAATCTGTTATTTCATCTCTGACTTTCTCCAAGATCGCCACAGTCTTTAGAAAAACACATGTGCTCTAGAGGAATAAGATACTGCTAACAAATCTTGGATGCCATAGCAACCCACAAATTCTTCTCTGATGTCAACAGTTCAACAGCGTACCCCAAACCACCCTAGTCACCTGCAAAATTGAACACTCCCTACGAACAGGAATGTGACTGCCTCACCTTTAAATGCTTTATCCTTAGCCCGGTTCCATAAATGAATGAATAAAGAGAGTGAAAATGCTCTGGAGTGAAAGAGCCTGAGACATGAAAACTTACAAAGACCATGTTAATTAACCCTTGCTTAGTAGTAGCGACATGAAAAATTTAGGATGGTGGTAAGGTCGTGTAAAAGGGCAAAGGAAGGGGATAGGATGGAGAAAAAATGATATTAAGATAAGTTATTGGTGATATTCTAGGGGTTCATTTGGAGATTACTGGTATGTTATAATTTATATTATTGCATTGTTATATGTCTCAAATAGTAAATTTTATTTTTTATTTATTTATTTATTTTTTTCCTTTTTGTCTTTTTTCGTGACCGGCCATGGGATCGCAACCCTCGGTGTTGCTCCCGCCCCTCGCTCAGCCAGTGAGCGGCCGGTTTGTATGTGGGATCCGAACCCTCGGTGGGAGCGCCGCGGCGCTTCCCAAGCGGCGCACTATAGCAGTGCGCCACCGGGCCGGCCCTCAAATAGTAAATTTTAAAAATAAATATTTCAAGAACTTAATCACATTATTATTTTGTTTACCCCTCTTTTGTAAAATATGATATTTAATCTTTAAACAGAGATATGTTAAAATATTTAAATTGTATTACTAAATTATTTAAAATAATATAGTTATTTGACACAGTAAAACTTTGGGTTTAAATTAATTCACACTTTAGTAAAAATAATGTAATTATTGTTTTCTTTTCTAGGTTAAAACTAGAAAAGTAATACTTTTACATAATACTACAGCTACTTCTCTAATATGCATTTAACACATCTGCATTGTTCATGACTAGAATAAAATGAAATAATATGATGCTTATGAATCTCTTGAATCCTTACAAGGTCAAAATATTAAATGGAGTTATGTCATTACTTTCATGACCATCATTTCCTCTGTTAGTACTTACTCTTTGTATTTCATTCACCAAACTGTACCCAACTAAGATTAATTTCAGATGTCATTTATTGGTATCCTATTGAAACCATTATAGGTCATAATTTTTCAGGTTAGCCAAATTATCATATTTCTAAGAATACATTCATGGAATAACTTTTTAAGCACCTACTATGTGCTGGGGCAGTAACACTAATTCTGGAGTAGTGGGATGAGATAAACATATACAGATCACCTTGTTTCTCTCTATAATAAAATATTAATAATAGTACTCCTAACCACTTTTCCCTATTTGCAGTCAAGAGGTAATCTGCCAGATTTGTAATACCAGAGAAAATCTATAATAACTAATTCTTATATTAGAACCAGAATTGTCAAATTTGCATCATAATATGAAACATTAATGAAAATGCTTCCTGGGGGATAATTCCCTATGGATCTCTTGAATTTCTGCATGTTTTGTAAGCAGAAGCACTGTTTTTTGTTTTGTTTTGGTTTGGTTTGGTTTGGGTGTTTTCCAGGCTATCTTTTCAAAGAAATTTGAATAACAAACAGCCTTGGACAAAGAGATGTGTCTTCCTCCAGAGGAGAGGGAAGGTTTATGTACTGTCTAGTATAATAAAGATAATCTCTCCTTTCTAAGCAAAGATTAACCAGGTTTCTTTACTGCATATTACAGCAGATTTTGATTCCCTAAGCCAGGAGTTTCAGCTCTAATGCTGTGTCCACAAATTACTTGGGTCACACACAGTTGTTTCCATGAGACTTGGGGGGGCAAGGAAAACTGGCTCAAACATGAAGCTCCTGCTGCCTGCTTTGCTGCGAGTAATGAAGTCCACTGTCTTTGACCCAGGAGTCTCATGTCCTCTGCTAGCATCCATGAATCTGTGGAGGGCTAACACATTAACTTGCAAGTAGGGCAAATCTCAGACCTTTTATAGTGTTTGACAATGCTGAGATTTGCCTTCTTGACAAGGTACTGTTCAGCTCTCAGCAAAAACAGCTATGCAGAAGGTGTCATGGAAGGAACTTCAGAAGACACAGGTGTCTCAATTTTCTTCCAAAATTTAAGAAATGGGTTTTGCAGTAATTTCTGAATCCAGTTCTGGTTTGAGTGAGTCATAAGATTTCTAGTAGCTTTATAATGTGAGTAGAATACCTTCCATGTTTAACTTTGCTATATTTTCCAAACTGTCTGTATTTTTAAATTTCTGCTCCCTTAAATATAAATTAAACATCCTGATGTGAAAAATTTAAATTTGAGGTTGTTAATTTTAAAAAATAAATTAATAAACTTTAAGAGTAGCAGTTAAATGCTTAAAAAACATTTTTTAAGCAAAAAGAGAAAGGAAAAAAATCTAATTTTCATATGTATTACTCTTCTTATAATCCTTGTCACTTTATTTTTAAATGATTGTCCATTACATGTGAATAAGCCTCATCCTGTTGAAAAGCACATATGGACTGAGTTAGCTGGCATTTTCCTTATCAAAAAATAAACAAGTCTGAACGTGGGTGTTCTGTCAATCAGAACACTTAGCCATGTTACAGGCTGAAACTGATGCACAAATCCATTACCCAGGCATAAAATGCTTTACCAAAAAATAAATTAAATAGCTTTATAGCTCTTAGCCGGATACATTGCCAAAATATGCAAGGGATGAAATATGTATGTGACTTCTTTAAGAGAAGAAATTGAAACTAGGAGCCAACTACTTCTCAGCAGTGCAAATTATACTCTAACTCTGTATTTTCATGTCTTGTCTTGTTTGTCTTATTTAGATTGTAAACTTAGTGGGGGAGGGGAAGAATCTGTCTCTCACTAAATTCTATCAGCCAGCAGAGCATATTACCATTAGTACTTCTATTGCAAATAAATATTTATTGCCAAGAAAGGAATTCATTTTTTATAAAAAAGAAATGAACAGGGAATCCAGAAGGCTTGATTCCTGGCCTACTATAAAAATGTTGATAAGCCATTTCACCTTTCTTCTTATTTTTCTCTCTAATAAAATGAAAGTACCCACTTTCGTTCCCCAGGCTGTGGTGTGAGGTTTCATTATACAATACCTGCGAAGTTAATTTAGCTCCTCAGAAGACTGGTGTTATATAAACAGCAAATATTATTACAGTCATTGGGTTGAGTTGTGCAACATCCCAATGTTTCAGCCAAAGGAATTGAGAAAGATATTTATAGGTTCACTAGACTTTATTTAATTAAAATAAAAATCGCTCTCGTATTTTTCGTTACCAGACATAATGTTGTACGTTACAATGAAGTAGTTCAGTTCCGTGCTAATGACGGAGAGAAGTGCTAGACTAGATGAATCCTAGGCTAGTCATGCTGAGAAGGAACCTCACGTCCTTCCTCAATCTCAGTTCTCTAGAAGTAAAAGGATGTTTCACAGGGAAGAATGATCTTTGAAACTTTTTAAAATCTATTTCATTATCCTAGTGATTGCTAAAGTTTTAGCTTTTCCCTAAATACTTTCAAGATCATATATAAAGTTTATGTGAACTAGGGCTACTGTAAATAAGATATTTTTTTCAAAAGACCCCAAGGAGAAATGTCACTGATATCCCAGCCCAAATGCTCCTACCCCCATACCTAGCCATGTTTCAACTGACTTAAGTTATAAAACATCCAAGAGCTAAGGTTGCAAATTAATTGCTTCCAACTCATTAAATACTGAGAACCATTAAATTACTTCACATTTTTGTTCAAGGTCTCTAAAAACTCCTAACAACGTGAAATAAACAACTCTTTTAGACAAAAAGATGAGCTGTACTAGGCTTGGGCAAAGAGAATGCAGACAAAAGTTTTAAGATTCTGGATGGAGTTGCAATCAATCACTTACCTCCAAACCACGCCTTCTGAGGATCAGGCTGGGATCCTGCCATTCCTCAAGCTCAAATGCAAAATTAACAGCACATAGTACCACATAGTCATTTTCATTGAACTACCTAATCTGGAATCTCCAGAACTGTTGAATTTACCCAGTTCCATAACTCCTTTCCAGATCGAGCAATGTACAGACAACAGAACCATAACTCTTAAGCAAATCGGAATTTTAAGAATTAGAGTGTGAAACATCAGTTTAGTCTATTAAAAATACATCACCTTCTAATCTCTACTGCTCAGAAATTTTACCAGAGAACACATTGCATTTTACTCTATTGAGTCAGACAAAAAACTGTAACCTGAACCATCTCAATCAAAGGCAAAGTTTAAATTAAATATGAGATTAAAGACTAGGATTTTTTGAGCACATGTAATGAGATCAAAATATAAATCCAGGGAATGGCTGGTCAGCTTGGTTGGTTAGAGTGCATTGCTATAAAACTAAGGTCAAAGCGTTCAGATCCCTGCACTGGCCAGCCACCAAAAAAAGAAAAAAAAAATACATATGTATATATACAATCATATGTATACAAAAATATATATGTATGTATATACAGGCTAGCTGTCAGCACAATCTACAACCAAGAAGTTAAGGTAGCTTATTTCAACCTAGGCTACTGCTTAAATGAGCATTCCTGTTTTTATACTAATATAAATTTAGAAATTTTCCTTGAAAAATTCAGTGATGACCCAAGATTACAACTTTCAAAAACTGAAGCCTTATTAATGATCTTGTTCATCTAGAAAAGGAACCTTTGAACCAAAAGAGTATTACGAAAGGAAAGGCATATTCTTGAATAACTTCTTTTCATTTTTCCAGAGAGGGAAACTCCCTGGCCCAAAATGACCTAGTTAATAACAAAGCCAGGGTGAAGATCAATTTGATAAGTTCACTGCTCCTACGGTAGGTATCTCTCCATTAGGCCTCATATCTTACTGTGGGCATCTGATTGTGCTAAGTGAAAGGTATTAGATTCATTTCTCCTGTATGATTAAAAACAAGTTAAAACTCTTTGTTTGTAATATTACAAATTAATGATAGAATAAATCGATGGTTGTCAAACTATGGCATTGGGTCAAATCTGGCCAGCAACCCATTTTTACAAATAAAGTTTTCTCAAAACATACCTTTGCTGGTGCATTTACATACATTACAATATCTGTAATTGCTTTTGTGCTGTAATGGCAGAGTCGAGCTGTTGTGACAGAGACCTTATGGCTCCAAAGCCCACTTTATTTAAGGTCTGTCCCTTTACAAATAGTTTCCAGTCACTGGAGCAGAGTTTACTACTAGATACAGTTACTTAACAAATAAAAATATTTTCATTAAATGAGGTGCTTTTAAAAAACAATTCTTCAATGAGATGAATGCTGAAGAAAGAATAAGTCTCAAGCATAAACTTTTTTATTGCGGTAATCAAAATAACGATGCCATCCAAAACTCTCAATTTTCCTTCAGATGTGAGAAACACCAAGACTGTACTATTTCTGACCAGTTTACCTTGGATTTTGTGAAATTTGCAGAAATTCTTGCAAGAGAAAAGAAACAAACCTTATCTCTAGTATTTGGTATAGAGCCAGGTCCTGATAAACTACTTTTCTGATTTTGGTACCAAAACAGATATAATTTAAAACAGAATAGCTTTTTAAATTCTGTTGATAGAAATAAATAAACGATAACAAAATCATAACTGTTGTGCCTTACTTTACAAATGAGAATTACTCTCCCAGGACAATATTCTTATCTGTGTAATTTGGCTTGTACACCATAGTCGCTTTCAAATACACCGTGGTATTTAACATGCACTGTCAATTAGAACTGCTCCCCAAACTCACCACTGACAATTGCCAAGAATATATAGGACAACATAACAAGACAGGCTTCACAATAAATAGCTGACTTCAAGCTAAAGCATCTAGATTTCCAATTTAATAAGCAAAGGCACCATGAATCAGATTCTCTACAGGTAATAACATAACACATTAACTACCTACAGAAAGGAAATAAATCTCAGTTACTAAAAAAGGCCCTCATCTCATAATTGTCTTGGTGTCATTCCTGCTTTTTAAAACACCACACCTTAGAATTAAAAAGGTGTTTCTAACAAATAGACACTCTGTTTTATGATCATTACACATGATTATGATATGGCTTATACATTATATTAAAAGATAATTTAAAATGTGGTTGGCTTATTCTTTTTTTAAAAAAAGTGAAAGAAAAGGAAAATTTCTTCTTTCACAAATGTTCTTTATAGGGGAACAAATAACCAATCTCTTGGATATGTGTTGTCCTCTTAACGTTAAACAATGTAGCCCTGCCATCTAGTGGCCATGACTGGGAACACAGCACTGGAACACAGCTCTAATTACTATTGTAAAATATTAAATTGATTTCTCTTACGAAGTTCCAAACAATCCCTTTTTACTAAAAACATAAAATATAAATTTAAAATATAATAATAAAGTAAACTATGTATAATTAACTGAATGGACACTAAAGAAAAAAAATGCCATACACTTGAATTATATTACTGTACTAGAAACAAATGAGGTATATTTATTTAAAATATTTCAAGTTATAGCTAATCCACATAGATTTGTGAACTCTATAAAATATAGGTGATGAAGTGTCTTCTTCTATACTTTCCTGTCTCACCTCCGACTACCAGTTTACTTACTCATTTTCACATTTTCCCTCCTCTCATACCAGAATTTCCATAAATACTTACAATATACAAAGTATATTGTATATTTAAATGTATATAATTAATATATTTAAATGTATATTTAAAAATTTACATTTCCTTAGAGAGAACCATTATTATTAGAAATTCTTTACTAGAGTCATCTGACAACTACTTTTCAGCATAGAACATACACTAAAACTTAAAATGCTAACATTTTGCCTATATTTTTCCTCCCAGTAATTTAATTTGCATATTTGCTTTTATCATAAGATATACTGAACAATTGAACAAATACTTATAAATAGAGATGTAACAAGTTGTTATAAAAAGATACTAGATATGTGTGGTATAAGAATATCAGGTATAAGGAAATATTTTTTCATTAATTTTCAAATTGTAGAAATATATATTCAGGAGCAATAAGATCTATACTTATTACCTTCTTTTGTTTTAATAAATTAATTTAAGGATAATTTCCTATATTAGGGTATTTCAAAAAGTTCTTGCAAAAATAGAATTGAAAGATAATATGTTTCCATGAATTTTTTCAAGTATCCTCATATATCACCTGTTAGTATTTTTTTAGTTTCTTTCTTCCAACCATATGTAAAATCCCATAAGTCTCATGAAGGATAAAATTAAACTTAGTATAAAAGAATTTGAAGATCCAAGTAAAGAGAAACAAATGTTAATCTCCTGATGCTCATTTATTTCTTTCTAAACCCTACATATTCCTAAACCCTAAACCATTTGTATATTTCTAAAGCCCATTTATACATTCCTAAACCCATATGGCCAAACATATTTTTGTATACACTCATATGTTTCACAAACACTAGCTGTAAGATGCCTTGAGGGCTGACTTTTAAAAATTTGGTGTCAAGGCTGTGTGGTATAGTCTTGAATCTACAAAATTGTTTTTGCTAATAAGAAGTTTGAAAAGTTTTGTGGTCAGCAGCAAAGTGGACGCTATGTTCTTTCATCTTGAAATTCTGAATATTATATGTGTCATGGTGCTTTCCATCCCTAATGCTCTTTGAATCTAAGCATACCTGTTACTATATACATATTACAGTTAATTTTTGTTCAACTGTTAATGCTAAATCCAAAAAATCTAGTACTGACTATTATCTTGTTCGACTTTTAAATTAACAATTACTGAAATTTATGTTAAGCCTGTGATAACAAGATTTGATTTAAAAGTCACCATTATATCACATTCTGATCTTAGGTTGATCTATTTTATTTCCCAAAATCAGTATTTAACAGCCACTGGAGACACTGATAGAAGAAAACTTCAGACAGACTTAGAATGAGAGTTCATCTAATCTGCTGACATGCAAGTAAAACTTACTTTTTTCATATAAATATATTTTCCTTTCAATCACCTCAGATATATATAATTGCCTCCTTCAAATATTGGCTATCAATAAAACAGATTATCTACATGGGGAGGGGGAATATTGAATGGAATGGAGCACCGCAAGAACCATAGAATACCGGGGAATTCCTTGCATTATATAAGAAGGTCAATAACTAAAAAATACTAGATTTTACTTTAAATAGAGAAAAACAAAGGAAAGTAAAATACTCATATATACATTTAATCCTAAGGTAATGCCTAAAATGAATCAATATGTTTGTGGCAAGTATTACTACATGAAGATGCACTGTGGCATACTTATTAAAAGTTCCAGGCACTCAGTACATGCTTCATGGTAGAAAGTGGCCAGATGGATTTATAATCAAAATATTAATAGAGAACCCCACTGGCTGACCACTAGGCAACCCTTCTCTGTGTAAATGCTTACGTTTTCCAAGCCCAGGAGCACAAGAAGTGGAATCGTTGTCATTCCACCTTGAATCCATTCCTCCAGAGACACTGTTCCATCATGATCGTAGTCAATTTCTTCCATCATTTCATGGAGGATCTGGAGTAGCAGAGATGAGGGAAAACTTTCCATGAATCAATAAAATACATTTCATATGATATAACAAAGCATTCCATTGAATTGGTTGTAACAAATTGTGACTAGTAGCTAAGTGGAGAGTTGGGATAAATGTTTTGGTAGCTCAGTACAACTTTAATCCTATTACCGAGGAAATAATGACTTTGTTATGATTTCTAGAACCTGGCTACTTAGGCTGATCAACTTTAAGGAACACATTGACTTTTAATATTTTTCAATGAACAGCAAAGCTAAAACAAGAAGGCATCTTTAATTTAAGGGTGAAAGTGATCTTTAATTACTTTCTCCGATTATTTTTTTTAGATTCATATATATGCCAGAAAATGTCTGAACAAATTAACTTCATGGCAAAGAGCTCAAATAATTCTTTGCTAAGTAGTAAGGGGCGAAGGAATTAAGGTGCTTTTAATTGCCTATCAGAACTTAATAGAGCTAAGAAGTTAAACGATAAAATCATATTTGATTAGACTTCTTTTCTAAAGATGACTTGCACATAATGTCCCAAAATGTTCTCCATAGTGTTTGTTTGTAATACATTTATTTTTATGCAGTATGGCAATAATATCAGTAGTTACATCAAGGGGTCGTTGTGAGGATTAAATGAGTTAATGTATTTATTATAAGTAGAAGAGATCCTGACATATATAGTAAGTGTCATATAGTGTTGTTTGTATTATTACTCATGAAAATTATATATAAATCCTAAACATATTACCCTTGGCTTTTGAAAAGACAAACTACTATTCATCTAATGACACTAAAATGGCAAACATGCTAAGAACTTTAATTAAGAAAGGAACTCACTGCCCTTATATAATATAGAAATTGTAATCAGTTTGGAAACAGAAAAATGCAAAGAGTGTTAGAACAAAGATTTGAAACGTTGCAAAAAATTAAATATTTGATCTGTCGGTTGAAGTATTATTTGCCACAACACTTCTGTGCTTGGTTGCTTGGTGTCTTTCCTCAGGAATTATTTAAAAATCAGACTGTTTTCCTTCATAGCAACTAACTGATCTACAGATATTAGAAAGAAGAAGGCTTTTTGGAACAAAAATGATGTTGGAATAATGATTTCATGATCCTCAAAATAAAAGATAGGAGAAATTATTAAGAATTTGGCAAAATGCTATAAGATTTGGTTAAAATGCCTTGCCTCTTGAGGGCATGCTTGAGGGCATGCTGATGAGTTGGTAGAAATTAATAAACGAGAAGAGAACTAAAACACAGAGCATTCGTTTCAGAGGGCAGGTGCTTTCATTTTTGTACCTCACAAATTTAATGTTAAAGCCTGGGTTAGTTTGATACAAACTCCTTCTACAGCATGAACAAAAGAGCTACAGCTGGACTCTTTCACATGGATGAATCAAAACAGAGTCATGTTGAATGAAAACAGCAAATCTCAGAAGACCGCATACAACATGATATACTTTTACTAAAGTTTGAAAACTAAGCAAAATTAAACTAAACACTGAAGGGTTCGGATCCCCATACCAGCCAGCTGCCACCCCCCCAAAAAAAAAAAAAAAAAACTAAACTAAACTAAGCAAAACTAAATAAAATAATAATATACCATTTAGGCACACATATTTCTATTGGGGGAAAAAAAAAACTTTTAAAAGAGGTAATGAAATGCTGAGCACCATATTCAGCGAAGCAGTTTTCTCTGGGGAGGAGACGGGTTGGAAAGAAGAGAACACACAGGGAATCGTAAGTTATTCGTAATATTCTGGCCTTGGTTTGACCAGGATTTAATAAACACTTAAAAAGTGTTTAGTATATTATTTAGTGTACATACATAAGGTAAAATAAAAGACATCCTTCAGTGGACCAGTGGGGATAATGTGTCATGGCCAATGCTTACGATTAATCCAGTTCTGTGAATCTAAGAAATCCTGGCTCCAGCACAGGCTAATTTTATGGGCCGTGTTCAGTTGCTTAACATGTCTTATTTTCGTTTTCTTGACTATGGGGAAATAAAAGCCACGGACTATTATAAGAATTTACTGAGCAATAAATGGAAGCTAATAAATAGTTGAAAAAAAATAAAACTTCAAAGGACATAGCCTTGCCTACTAATTGTGATCAACTTCAAATGTTCACTTGTCTTTTTTCAAATATGCAAAATTATGAGGAGTCTGCCATTGTGTACATTTGTTTAAAATGAGGACAGCTGTTAAAATATTAGGCAAGATGAGACAGCTACCATGACAGCAAACTCAAGGCACAAGTTAAAACTTTTATCTTGACTTTCTATTTAAACTACACAGAGAAGTGGCAGACCTATCAGTATACACATGACAAATTATGCTATAGTTTATTTTTTTATATTCTCCAGTAGGTGTTTGTCAGAGGCTTCTCAGGCACAGTCCCCTTCCTAAGAGTATCCAGATCTCCCTTTTCTCAAATCTACACCACACCACCCGAGACAAAATAATTTATGTTGGGAAGTGGTAGTGCCCACTTCTGCCTTAAAAGCTGATAGGAAAAAGTCCCCCTTCCCTCGTGTCTACAGTGAGAATAAGCAGGCTTGCTTGGTGGATGAATAATTTCCACAGGTACAAAGGTGAGGAGGATGGGAAAAAGCTGCTTTAGATTAACATGACCAAAAAGGGCAACAGAATTTATAAGAAATCTCTTGATTTCAGTGACAATAGTATTAAGGTGAATCAAGCAGTAAATTTTAAATACATGTTACCATCTACTGTATTATTCCTTATACAAACTGCAACCTGTTAATGTTACCTGTCACTCGCTGTGAGCAAAGCAAGTGCATTTGCACATCAAAAAAAAAAAAAAAAAAGAAAGAAAAAAACAAAAGTTGGGTAAAAACTGATCCCAGTTAGAGTGCTGCCCTCCTTTGTACATAACTTGTGCTTTGCTGGCTTTAGTTTGCAAAGAAAGGGAAGTGCTGTCAGAGCTTTGCATCACATAACCATGCCATTATCATGCTGTTAAATGCATAAATGGGAAGAGTGGTTAAAAAATAGACTCCTTAAATTAATATAAAATGAAAACCATTTAAATAAAATTGATTTATATTTGCCTTATTCATGTACACTTTGCTAAACTTAGTTGGTTTCAAAAATAAGCTAAAATCAATCGCTCTTATCAGTTCGCCCCAAAATACTACTTTCAAAGTAATATTTTGTCAAAGTTTCTAATCAAATATATTTTAATGTACTGTAGTGGATTGAATTATGCCCCCCCAAAACTCATTGAAACTTGAATTGTATCCCCCAATTTTTATGTATTAGAAGCTTAGCCCCCACTGTGACTGTTAAGAGGTTGGGAAATTGTATTACGGTAATTGAAACGTGGAGCCCTGAAGAGATGATTGGATTATAGGCCCATGCAGTAGTGAATGGATTAAAAATGGTGGTCAAGGGCGTGGTTCTGAGGGCTTTAAATGAAGAGAGTCTGTCTTTCTCTCTCTGCTCTGCTCTCTCTACTTCCACCACCTTGCAATATGACACCCCAGGGTCACTGTCAGCACCACCAGATGGACTTTGGATTTCTCAGCCTCAGAAACTGTAAGCAATAAAAGTCGTTTTATTTTATAATTCACTCAGTTCCATGTATTTTGTTTTAAGCAACAAAAATAGACTAAATACATTTGAATAACATTGAAATTCTGATAGAAATCTGTTCAAAATAAGAGGTCTTTATGTTCATATAATCACTGTTATATACTGTTTCTTTAAACAACTTGGTTAAAATTTCCTGGGTCTATCTTAAACTAGCTGAAGAGGTTTGGGCGAGTAATTTTAACATATAAAGGTTTCAATTTACTCACCTCAAAATTTAAAAGATAGTATATCTACCTCAGAGAGTTGCAAGCATTAAATAACACATAAAGACAAGATAACACAATACATCGTGCATGGGAAACTATCACCAATTCCTTCTTTTATCTCATGGCATAACCTTGACAGTGTCCACCAGCACCTGCTGCTTACCTACAGGTATGCAAGACCACCATTCAAAATAACTGAGAAAGAAACAAAAGTTATTACTAAGACCTTCAGAATAACACATATACCTTATTATCTTATTCAGAATCCACTTCAACTTTTGACTAGAAATAGTAACTTAGAGTCATCAAAAGACAATAATATATTAGGGTCCCAGAAAAGACAGAAAAAGAAAGGCGACTTCCAGAATTTAGCCAACAGTTAAATCATTCATATACCTACTGGATTAAGTTCAGTGACATCCCATTCAAGATACTCTGCAACATGCATCATCTGACTGATGATATTCTCTAGCTCCTGGGTGGGGGGTGGAGAGAAGATATGAATAGGAGATCTTAGTAAGTTCTTAATCTTTGACTTACAAGATTTTATCCAACATGTAGCTCAAAAAAATTTAACGAGTTATATGACCAATTTTATATATCATATACCTATGTAGATGGTATGTATCATGTATATTACTTTCTAAAGGTCTAATTGACTATATGGAAAAGAGGAGTCTTGTGCTTTGTCTAGAAACATTCACCAGGAGAGGGCACAACTATACCAAGGAAGATTTTCCTCTACTGGAGAGAAGTGCCTGATGAGTGTAGGAGACTATTTGTATTTTCACATGATGCATCTCTTAAGTCACTGAATATCCTGACCCTTTGGCTTGAAAACAGATGTGGAAGGGTGGAAGGAAGTGTTTGAGGGCAACTGAGAGGTTTATTTTTACTTTGATACACTGAGAACATATATTGACTGTTCTAGTCATTTAAGGGATAATCTGCTTTGCCAGAAGGGTGTTCAGGGTCAAGGTTTGTAGGCTAAGTATATGTAGAGTTTATTTTGTGAGAGAATAGAATTCTAGTTTGAATTTTCATATCATTCTGCTCAGATGTCAGCTCTTTGAAGAACTGCTAGTTAATGCATATGGCTTGGCTAAATAAATCAAAACGTTTTTCATACCTATTTATTTAATATTTTAATTTTTCCCTACTGATCTCCAGAAAAGATTAAACATGGTTTTGTAAAATTCTTATAATTTTAAATGTAGATATAATTTTAAAAGTGATGTTTTATTGTATTATTTAAAAAGTAAGAAGTATAAAAAAATAAGGTTCGAGAGTCTATTATTCAGAGATTACTCACATCTCTGATCTAAACATATGTAGTCAATGTTCATGGAATAGAGAAGGAAATAAGGTAAAAGATGCTGTTTTTGGGGGGCCATGGGTCCCTCTGAGAAACCAATAAAAGCTAAATTCCCTCTCTCCAGAAAAAAATATAATTATGAATATGTTATTTATGTAAGACAACTTGCCCCAGAAACAATGCAAACATAAATGTACTTCTTACAGATTAGCAAATTTTAAAAACACAAATAACTTGTAATTGCAGGCTAAAATGTGTGTGTGTGTGTGTGTGTGTGTGTGTTACAAATCTCTCATCTACTCTGCTTTTCTTATATATACACCTTAATGGTTTGGAAGGGGTAACGTCTCTGGTTATATTTTTAAGAACAGAAACTATTTTTAGTGGACAATTATGTAGGCATGTGATGTTAGGTAAGTCATTTAACCTCTCTCAGGCTCAGTTTCCTTATCAATAAAATGGATATTCTAACCTTACCTAGTTTATACAGTTACTGCAAAGATTAAACATGTGATTATATGAATGAAATACATTTATCTTATTGTTTGGCATATTGCAAACAATCAATAAACATTAACTATTATTATTATACATAGTGGTCATTTGTCAAATTATCAATTTTCTTTCTGTTTTGCATCCAGTAGATGCACTGCTACACATTTAAAGTACCAAGACAAATGACTTCAGAAGGTACAATTGAACCTGATATTGAAAGAAATCTACTGGGGCAGTAGATTCTGTGGAGAAACCCTAGAAATTAATCCAGACCTTTAATTAAAACAAAAAAACTAGAATAACCATAAACAAGTCTATTTATTCCCAACTCATTGTTCAATATTTGGAATATAGTTATAAATATTGCTAGTAATCTACCATATATATTAACAAGAAATGGCCAGAGACCAAAAAAAGCATTTGACTAAATTTTCAAATCAGCTGCCAACCGATGGCTAAAAGCCTAGTAAAGAAACATCATTCTAATTTAATTAAAAAGCAACATTAAATAAAACAAATCTGCATTAAAATATAATTTGCATTAGTGTAGTCACAAGTGCTACAATAAGCATATTGAAATATCTAGAAGAAATCTAAATTCCTAGCTGTTAAATGGCACCAGAAAATGAGCAAATTTATCATGTGACTTAATATTTCTAAATGGAAAACTAAAAACTATGAAGCACATAAAAATAATAGCATTTGAAAAATTTCTAAGACTTAAACATAAGAAATCCCACAATCACGGTATCAATTCAGAGTGATGGTCATTTCCTAGAGTAGGAATTATATATATTTATTTCTCTGCAGAGAAATTAACATACTATTATCCTACTCAGCATTACATAAATTTGTCTCCAACTTCATTGTTCTGCTTATAAAAGCTATTTGAGCTCTGCCATGGGGAGGTCAATCAGATGACTAGAGAAACCCACTCATTATCAGAGATAATGTTTATTTCAGTCATTACTAAATAAATCAAAACATTTGTTTTTTAATGTATCTCTGCAATTCAAAATTTCCAGTATCGGACACTTATTCTTTTATTAGTAGTCTTATCTTGCCTTGATAGAACAGGAAACAATATAATATGCAAAATATGTTACCAACAAACATAAAATAGATTATAGGATGGAACCTGAGGTAAACATATAAGGTACTGAATTGTGCACCAGAACTAAGAGTTAATTTCTACTCCTCTGAAAGCTATCAGTTGTTGCCATATAGGACAAGTAAATTAGACATTTAATTATTACTTTCAGTTCATCGTATAGAGATGACATTTTTCTTCTATTGTTTTTATGACTAAAACTATAATAAAGGGTGAGCTGCATAAAAAATTGGGTGATATGTTTAAAAAATGGAAGTTTGTCAAAGCAATCCATAAATATGTTTGCCTCTTTCAACAGCTTATGATTAAAATACTTTTTAAGTAGGAAAATCATAAAATAATTAAGCTGGCCTTATAATTTCTTTAAATTCAACTTGTGTCCTCAATATTTTCCTTAGTGTCAAATCTCACTGGTAGTTTTTCTTTCTTTCTAGATCAATGGTCTCTACTTTATCTTATGTTTTATTCAGACAAGGCTGGAGTCTTCCTTTTTACTCTAAGATTAGTGTAGGGAAAAAAAAGTCATGTTTTTGTAGCAAAACTATTCAATAGAAAATTCATAATCCTAACAGTTTCCTCAGATTACTTTCTTTCTAAAAACCAAATGATAAAATGCAGTGTGAGTGCAGGGAAATTATATTAAGTGTGTCTTCTGTGTTAATAGCTATGAATTTATTCATTGCATTTTTCAGAAGAAACTCTTTTGAAATTTTCACAGAAAATTTGAAGAAAAAAATTACCGAGCTGTCCAGGAAGCCATTTCCATCCGTGTCATAAAGGCGAAACATAACTAGAATAAAAGAGGTGTTAAAAAATAGATTATAGGTGAATAAGATCAATGTCAGTTTAAGGCACATTTTTTAAAACGTAGTTCCTGTTGAAACAAATACTAAATTTTTCTCCTACTCAAAGCGATTAATCTGTAGGGTCATTTCTCAAGGTAAATAGAAAATTAACCAATCACTTAATTAAAATACTTGATATCAAATATGGAGTCTATCAAATTTTGTTTGTATCTAGGAAACACTACAAAGTATTATTGTTTGTTCAAACCTTTACTACAGGATCATTAAATGTAAACTCAAAAATAAGAAGAGAAGGACTTGAGACGTTCAGAGTCTGGATATTAAAGGGCAGAGTGGATAAGAGAAAAAAAGATTTGGAATTTTAGAAATCAATTATAATTTGGAATCCACCATCCGCTATTAAGTGAGCTTAGTCAAACACTGTTTTCTTATCTGTAACATGAAATAATCACCCTGCCATAAGGCACACATTTGCTGTGAAAGTTAAGTGAGGTAATAACACTAAAATGCATATGAACAGCCATGGATCACTACAGAAATATGGGCCATTGTTATGATTGATCCACAAGCAGTATGGGAGGAAAGAGAAGTGAAAAATAAGGGATTCATTCTGATGGAGGATGCCAACACCGAAAACATTATTACAGCGATAATGTTTCTTTCATTAAGAGGTAGAGCTTCTTTGGGTAACTAATCTTTGAACTAATCAAGTAAAGAAAAGCAGAGTGTTGGCTCTGTATTAGGGAGTTTAGGAAAGCAGATGACAAGTGTCCCTGGTCCACCTGAGGATTCCCTTGTATAATTCACACACCACCAGGAGGCTGTGGAAGAGGCTGCAGGTGCCGTCTGGAGATAAACAGAGAAGAACGACACAGCTGTCAAAACAGAAGAGTGGAAGTGAGGGTTTGTTTTGGATTTATAGAACTTCCTGGAGAATCTTGATGTCTGAGGTCTACAATATTAATAAAGACATTGATAACTAGGAGACATCATTGTGCAATGGCCTTGATCATATGTAGCTAATTATTATATTTTTATTTAATGATCATATTTCACCAATTCTAAAACATGATTATTAATAAGATAAAAACATAGTCTGTATGTCACTAAAAAGAAAAATGTTGACAATTTAACTATGATATTCTATTTAGCACAAGATGCAAGCAAATGTTAAAGATGTTAAAGTGTAAGGAAAAATGTGTATTTATTGAACTAAGGGAAATCGTGTTAGCTCAGCTAAAAAACTCAAATATCTTTCTTTGCAAACCATGGTGATTGTTCCCTTTCATATACTCAGTAAATGAGAATAAAATGCAGAAGGAAGAAAAAGACTACCACAATATGGATACTAAGAATTTCAAGATTTTCTAGTGCAGCAGCAAATGGTAAAAAATATCTTGGTAAAAAGTGGCAAGAATTATCTGACCACTTAGAGAAAGGGTTACCTATCAGGAAAAAGGCAAGGACTTCAAAAGCCTAACTGTGTTTTAGAATGAGGGACACTTTTATCTCTCTTGATCCTTAACTGGAGTAAAAGACTGCAAAACCATTTCATACAGCTCAGCTATATTGAAACCCTATGACTATTGGTAGACCTTGTTTGGAACATGACCTCAAGGAAACACACATGAGTGGGTTGTGTGAATATCTGTCATTCAATTTTGGCCACATCAGAAGCTTCTTATGTTCTGAGAGTCACACTTCAAGAAGCCCAATGGAAGAGGAAAACACTGATCCCTTTTCTTTGCTAGCCTGACTTGAAGCTAGACTGTGCACTTGATCTAGGCTCCACCAAACAGAAGCACAGCCCCAGGTTATCAGTCAGGTGGTAGTGACCCAAGCAAAAAAGAGTTGCACAGAATCCATTCTGGTGATGAGAGGCAGCAGCAGCAGTGGCAGTGCTTTCAGGGAGAGCACCCAGCGTTCTGGATGTGTCGGGGGGATGGCACTGAAAGGTGCTGTCTGTGCAGAGAGGTAGCAATGGGTTCTTTCCCCAGCCCAATTATGTACTTAATTGGTCATCATTCCTGTAGAAGCAGCTTCTAAATCTTGTTCTCTGCCACTCACAGTGATTCTGTGTGTTATTCAACATCAATTAAAAAATAATAGTAATCTGCTTTATTCAAAACAAATAGTTAAAAATAAACCTGTTTCTCTGTCTACAAATGATACTGTGTACTGAAGACTGGTTTTAAAAATAAAGTTATTATTAAAATGTTACACTTATAGGGAAATATATCATTTTACAAATTATCAAAGTGAATACACATATGTAACTATTATTCAAGTCAGGTAATAGAATATTACTAATACAATAGAACCCGTTTTATGCTCCCTCCATCCTAATTTCCTCTCTTCTCCCCAAATATACCCACTATCTTGACTTGTGCACACCTTCTTTTGAATTTAGCTTGATTTACTAAACATCACTTGTGATCTTCATCTGTGTTTTTGTGGGTAGCATTAGCTCATTCATTTTCTTCTCTGCTTAGTATTGCAATGTATAAAAACATCAGCAATTATTAATTCTAAACTGGAGGGATATTTAGTTTTTCTCCACTTTGCTATTTCTAGTAATGCTTGAGCTATTTCAAATAACACTGCGGTAAATCTTTTTGTGAATGGCTTTTATGCTTAGGTGAACATTTGCCAGTTGGTTATAACCAGTAGAAGGAAAGTTGGGTCATAAACCAGTAAAAGGAAGTCTGGGTCATACGGTTTGCAAATGTTTACCTTTAGTAGATATTGCCAAACAGATATCAAAATTGTTTTTATCAAACCAGTCTCTCCACAGCAGTACCTGAAGGCTTGAGTTGCTCCACTTCCTCACAGACTCAGTGTTGCCAGTTGTCTTATTCAGGCCATTCTGGTGGAGGTGCCGTGGTATACCACTGAGGTTTTAATTTGAATTGCTCTGATTACTAGTAAGATTGAACTAATTTTCACATGTTTTTGGCCAGTTAAATATTGGCCAAATTATTATTGGCCAATTAAATATCCTCTTTTGAAAAGTGACTACTCAAGTCTCTTGCTTGATTTTCTATAGGATTGTTTGTCCATTTTTTATTGATTCATAGAAGTTCTTCATGTGTTTTGTATTAAAGCCCTTTTTAGGTTATAGGTTGCAAAACATACTCTCCCACTCTATGTTTTGACATTTTTCCCTGTTAATATAGTCTTCTGATGAAGCAAAGATCATAATTTTAATAGAAGTCTAATCCATTAACCTTTTTCTTTATGGTATAATTTTATGTCCTGTATAAAAATTTTAGTCTTTACCAAGATCATAAAGACCTTCTCAGTAATATTCAAATTTGATTTGTTGTATGGTGTGAGGTGAGGATCATTTTAATTTTTTTTCTATGTAAATTACAGATTTTATTTTCCAAAGAGGAATTCAATAATAACTAGACTCTCACCCCATGTTTTTCTACAATGTGATCTTGACACTTATCTCATCAAAAAGTGGGGATCTACAGCCATTTCCCCTGAATCAGGGTAGGCCCATGCTTTGCCTGTATTAAATAAAATTCAGCAAAGTTATGCTGCTCATTTCGGAAAGTAAGTCATGAAAGATAAGGGAGCTACTACCTCACTTTGTGGAATGCTTGCATTGGAGACTTGAGCCACTATGTTAGTATGCCCTGATACTGATTGGAATCCTCAACTATCCAACATGGAAAGACAAAATGGAAAATTCTTGAGACAGAGAGAGACAGAGAGAGAGAGAGAGAGAGAGAAAGAGAGAGAGAGAGAGAGGGAGAGAGAGGAGAGAGAGACAGACAGACAGAGAGACAGAAGGACAGAGAGAGACAGAGAGAGGACACTATCCTGGACAACACTCCCAAACCTTCTACAGTTTCAGTTCTAACCTGTCTGACTGTAATCACAAGTGAGACCTACAGCCAGGCTACCCAGTTAAGGTTTTTCCCTAAATTTTTACCAACACACAAAAATTAGAGATAATAAAATTTGCGCTGTTGTCTTAAGCTACTAAGTAGTGGGGTAATTGTTACAACACACAGTGGAACAATACAGATATCCAATTAACTGAGCACAATGCTGAACTGATGATCCTTACTTGCTCGGCAGTGCCAACTTTGTCAAAATCACGTATCCATGTAAATTTGGGTCATTTTCTGAATGCCCTATTCTGTACCATTGGCTTATTTTTCTGTCACTGTAACAATTCCACACTGTCTTAATCATTGCAGCTTTTAAAAATATCTTTACACACAATCAAATATGTCTTCTAATTTTGTCCAACTTCAAGATTCCTTGGTTATACTTGCCCTTTGCATTTATATATAACATTTAGAAAAAGTTTGCCAACCACCTTGTCCCTCCAAAAACAAACAAAAAAGAACACCAAATAAACAAACAAACAAAAAAACCCGTGCTGGATTGTTATTGAGATCGCACTTTATATATCTATTTGGGGAGAATCTTTATAATGCCGTCTTAAAATCTACAACCATGTTATATTCCTCTTTATTTAGAACTTCTTTACTTTCTCTCAATAATGTTTCTTAGTTTTATGAGTAGAATCCTTTCAAATACTTGTTAAATATTTACTCCTAGGTATTTAATTTTTCTGATGTTTTAAATGGTAACATTTTTAAAGTTTCATTTTCTTATTATTTGTTGGTGTTATACAGAAATACAAGTGATTTTTATTTTTGCCTCGTATCCAGAGATCTTGCTAAACCCATTTATTAATTGAAATACTTTATCTGTAGATTACTTTGGATTTTTATGTAAATAATCATGTAGTCTATAAACAATATCTTTTAATTTCTTTTTTTTTCTCATCTTCATAAATTCTGTGTATTTTTCTTGCCTTATTATTATGGGTAATGATGTCCAACACGGGGTTAAATTCAACTTAGAGTTGTAGCCGTTCTTGTCTTATTCCCAATATCAGTGGGAGAACCTTCAACATTTCACTCTTAAATTAGAAGTTTGTTATAGATACACACCATTA